TCTCCCGCGTACCAGTTGGTCAAGTTGTTCCAAGCTTCGTTCATGGCGCTGCCGGGTGGAATCTTGGGGTTCAGAACCTGCAAAAATTAGGAGACTACCATTAAAAGAGGTCCCGCATTTTCTGAAACTCTCACGTGGAACTGTGGAACAGCATCAGTCACACTGACGATGGGGACTGCGCCATATTACAAGAAATCAATGCACGTAGCTAGGTGCAACGTGCTGCAGTAGGTCTTCGGGAACATGTTATATTCCAAGAAGATTAGGGTAAGTTAAGGGATCACAAACCTTCGTAGATCCGCTCTAATCAAGAGGAGGGCACATCGGGTTAACTGTTCTGTAATTTGAAGGTTCTGCAGAGTACTTAGATAGCAACATGAGGGCTCAGGAATTCTCATGATTTTGCTGCTACTGTACTCTGAACCAACCCTTAACCCTAAACCCTAAACCCTAAACCGTTGAAAGCCGAGTTGAGGATTCCATTGCATCCACCAGCGCCCACGTGTGGGGCTCTCCATGAGGACTCCCCTTGAGCAAACGGCAACCCAGACCCCCGAAAGGATCTAAAAAATAGATCCCCTAAGGGGTTCCTATAAAGTACCCTTTAGTAGTTAGGGTCCCAAATTAGGGGATCTATTTTTTAGATCATTTTGGGGGTCTGGGAAGTACTCCAGCTGTGGAGGTTTCGAGTGCTCTGGCTTCAGTTTGCAACCGCCACCCGGCGCACGTTTAGGGTTTAGGGTTTAGGGTTTAGTTATAATATACATGTAACTAGGAACCCGGAGGAAACCTGTGTCAAATTTCTTCAGGCCCCCTATATTACATCTAGCGGTCGCCACTTTCCCCAAGTTTCTCCCTGACAGCATATGTTGCTCAAACCCGGTAGCAAGAAAGAACTCGGAAGTATCACTGACATACACTTCGGGCTTGAAAAGTTAAGTGGGTGTAGGACTGTAGTCTGCGCAGATCAAGTGTCACTTGGGCCCATGCCCTCTTCTCTATCAACTCAAGAAGTTCAATGTCTGCAACTTCCCCTGCTCAGTGGAATGCATGCGGCATAGGCTATGGGGTTAAGGTTCCCAGAGACTCCAATATCCCTTAATTAAGGAATATACCTTAAATCATATTAGGAATCCTACTATGATTTTAAATATATTCCTTAACTAAGGGATATTGGAGTCTCTGGGTTCCGGGCTCTTTAAGGTTTCCCGTTTTTGGGGTTCAGAGCTGGGGGGCCTTTGAGCTTCAATTCGTTGGTCCTGGATAGATCCAAAAACGCCTCGACAAGTGGGTAGTTGTCAAAATTATGGTCCCTTTTGGGGTACCCTAAATAATAGGTGCCGTATTATAATAAGGACCCAAAAAGGGACCATAATTTTGACAACCACCCAAGTATAGCCCAGGTGTGCAGGGTTTCTGACAAATCCGACGCCCGGGGAGAGCAGGCTACTACGAGGGTCCATTCTCTACCGCCTACTATGGGAGTTGGCCCAAGAGACCATTCCCATTATGGTTTCCCCTAAACCCTAAACCCTAAACCCTAAACCCCCCTATGGTTTTGGGGGCCCGGATTCCTGACGGGAAGTACCTTTGAGCCCTTGGCCCTTCTGGGTGGATAACCTAGTGATGACTGCTTCTAGCCCCCCAAGACGAGTTTTTCCACGATGTAGTTGGGATATGAGGCCACTTATAACTGAGTGATATGTACCCCGAACCCACAAGTATACCCAAAGAACCTTTAAGAAAGCTTTCAAAGCCAACGCGCCACCCTTTTGACGCACTTTGCCGTGTCTGCAGCGCGATATCCAACCGGCAGATCCATATTCGGATATTCCCAGGCAACACAAAAGCCTTCGCAGGGATCTAATTCCGACTCTAAGTTTCTAAGGTTAGATCCTTTGTTGAGTGCTGTCTGCTTTTTCTTAGTTGGCTGGAGGGTTTGGGCTTTGCGCTAAGTCCAGGTATGCAGATCCTGCTTACTCTGGGGTCTAAAGTAGGTATCGCCTCACCGGAAATCCATTGGCCCATGATTCAGCCTCCAATCGCGATCGTCCTGGTTCACTGGGCTGGGGAGAGTAGGGTGTGGGATTGCTTGTTTACTGGGGTGCTCTTGTCCGCAAAACTGCAGCGCTCGCCACTATCCCTTCTTAGAATAAGAACATCGAACCACAACACATTCAACACTTGCGATGCTGAATTGGGCAAAAGCGATGAACTTGCAGTTCAGGGTAACAATTACAGAAGAAAAAGTTGAAAGCTTACAAAGTCAGCGGCCAAGAAGAGGACATGAAGTTGGAACCTCTAAGCCCGAAAAACCTAAATGGGGGTTTCCGAGAATAGGGGACCCTGGTATAGCACGCTAAATAGTAGGATCCTTATTATAAGGACCCCAAAACCAAATGGCTCAATCCCACACCTTTTTTACCCAGATTCCCGAACCCACCCTGAAACCGGATCCGAAACCTCACGACTAAAGCGCCCATCGATCGCCTACTGCCCGTTCACGTTGCTTTTGTTGCGGGATTTGGGGTTCAGGATGTCGGGTTGCTTGCAGAAACATATAGTAAACCCCAACAACTTGGAAACATAGTGCCTGGGATTCGCTATACATTACTCTTAAGGATTGAGGCTATTAGGTTTCCAACTTTTGGGCTTCTACTGCGGGTGAATCTGGAAAGCGTCCTTTTTCTCACGTCCCGGGGAATGGGTTGGGCTTAGCGCTTGGACGTTGCCCAGGTCCTCACATTATAGATCATCTTTTGCGGATGGGACGAAATCCAGAAAACTACCCGTGCCCACGAAATTTACAGCGGCGGGGTCCCAAAACAATAACCAAACATATGCTTTAAGGTCTATTCCTTAATTAAGGGGTATTGGAGTCTCTGGGTTTATTGTTTCTGGTTAGGGGTTTGAGCATGCGAGCTGAGCCCAGAAGCCCGAACGACTGACGCGGTATCCTGGATCCTTATAAGTTAAGAGAGTAGAGTTACTCATCTATAACCTATAGGAAGCCGCCCTATGCCATGGAAGCTGTGTCCTTAAGCGACGGACATTACGTTCCTTGCGCTGCATAATGCAGGATTGCGTAAGGCATTTGGGATGCTGGACCAGAGTGTTAGACTACAAAGCTACAATCTTGCTATATCCCAACCCTACATTCAAGCATATCCCTGTAAGCCTTAGCATACTTGGGCTTCAGTATCCTTGGATAAGCCAAACAGAAGACACCACAGGCAAGCCGCATCTGATCAAATGCTTCCGAGAGGCACGTTTCTTCCTGGGATTGAGGCTGAGGGTGCTGGGTTTCTTAAGCACCACCGTCATATTTTGGGTATTTCAGAAGAGTTGTTGGAGACGGACGGTTTGGTGGCCTACAACTTCTTATTTCGCGAATCGCCAAGGAAATAACAATACAGGCAGAAAGCAACTGAAATCCTACAACCCCCTCTAAACAGACCCCTGCATCAGCTGGGGTCCCTAAACCCCAAATCCTGTATCAAATGGGGATAAACTCCACATGCCCCGAACGAGGGTGGCCTTCCGTTCCGTGGGTTTACCTCCTCCACGCTCGCCTGGACATGAGAGACTTGGAGCTTAAAATTTGAGGGTTTAGGGCTTACAGCCAAAACCCGGAAGTCGGGTTTGCAGGGTTCGGGATTGTTTGGTTTGGGGACTCTGCGACTCGCTTTTCGCTATCTTGATGCGAGGACTCCGGTCAAGGTTAAGCACCCTGAATCTGAACCTTCAAAAGCGAAAGGGTGCTTAACATGCCGAGAGTCCGGGTGGTTGTTGTCGTCGTTGTCGTCGTGGTTGTGGTCGTGGTCGTGGTCGTGGTCGTGGTCGTGGTCGTGGTCGTGGTCGTGGTTGTGGTTGTTGTCGTCGTCGTTGTTGTCGTCGTTGTTGTTGTTGTTGTCGTCGTGGTCGTCGTCGTCGTTGTGGTTGTTGTCGTGGACGTCGAGGTTGTTGTGGACATCGAGGTCGTCGTGGTCTGGGCAAAGCAATTGGCTTTAAAGTTTAAGTACCTGAACGCCTACACTCCCAAGCCCTACATCCATATCCATGGCTGTAAGTTGTCATGCTGATATCTCTGAACAACCGAGATTCGGAGGCCATCAATCCCAAGCCCTGAACCCATGGCGCCAAGTTGTCATGCTGATGTCTCTGAACGGCCGTTATTTGGTGGCCGCATAGCCCAATAACGTACAAGCAACGGGTTTAGGGATTTGGGCTGATGGTTTCGGGTTGAAGGTGCTCTAAGTTCTACCTGCGCCACCGTGCTTGGTGTGTCTGAATATTCCGACAAACTCCAAATGGAGCTAAGTTAAATGTATACTTCTGAGGGGTTAGGGCGGCCAAGGTTCAGAACACGGCATACATGCCTTGGCGTCCACAATACCTAACATTCACATACACGCCGACCCCGCTGTCATCGCCTTGTTGGTTCAGGATTTTTGTGCTGTAGGAGTCAAGGTCTAGGAGGTTCAGGTTTAGGGCTTAGGGTTTAGGGTCGGGAAAGTTTGCGCGAACGATCGGAGAAAGGCCTCAAGCGAGATAGATTCTGCTGTGTAAAGCTGAGTTTAAATCATGTACACTTCTGATGGATTAAGGTTACGAGCAGGGAATGTACTAGTGTAATGGAACACAAGGGGGGTTGGTAGTTGCTGTCACAAACGCACACACACACACGCTCTCTTTCTCTCTCTCTCTATATATTAAAACAAATAGATAACTCAATACATATATATATATATGTATATATGTGTGTATATATATAAGTGTATGTACTTACACACACACACATACATACACATGTATGCACGTGAAACATGTGTGTATGTATGTATATATATATATATATGTATATACACAGATACACACAGAATACCCCCAAAAACCCAATGCCATTCGTTACGGCCGTTCTATGTGACCAAGACCTAAAGCCGAAAAGCTACCGCACTTCCCAAGGAGCCGCCATCCCCTGAATTTCAAATCCAGGAATCCACGCGGAACCTTTGATGAGGGTGATGCATTGGCCTGGCTCGCACGGAAGGTAGGTTGAGGGCCACACACACGCAAGTCTCTACCCTATGGAGAGATCCAGACAAAGAAATTAACATTGCCGCCGCACACACGCAAGTCTCTACCCCATAGTGAGACCCAGACAAAGAAATCAACATTGCCATTTAGGCGCGGTTCATTATTTCTGGCACTGTACAGACAGGTTACAACACACCCAGGATCCAGAGTCATATGGAAACGTCGGACGCACCGATATAGGCCCGTGAATGGATGGACAAGCAGGCAACCAAGGAATGGATGTCGTTAGCCGGACTCACGTGAGAGTTTCAGAAAATTGGGGTACCTTATTTTGGGGTCCTTATAATAGGGATCCTATTAATTAGGGTACTATATTAGGGTCCCCTATATTCGGAAACCCCCACGTGATGTCTCCGCACTGTTGTCATTTGAGCCGGAGCCTGCCCTTGCTATCTGCAGAGCAGCTTCCACTCCTTTCTATCACCGTTTGGGAAGTTGAATGTGAAGATTGAATGGTTTGCCGTTCTCTTTTGAACATATCGCGGTTGAAGTTAGCTGCTCTTTCTCGCAGGGTCTATGGCTTTAGTGGTCCGCCAGTCCCGGCATGTAGGGCTTGGGATTTGCATGTGTTGCGATACCACGTCTTTAAGACACTTGTTTTTTTTGCAGTTCTTGGCTTCTACTGTCGAGTGTTCACCAATCTTCACTGCTTCAACAGGTACTTCCCCCCCATTTCGGCTTGGGGTTTGGACGCTGTTCGACTCCCATGCCTGAAAGTTCGAAGGATTGGAAAGCAACATCTTACACAGAAGCGGGAAGAGCGGGCCGAGAAAACAGTAGTTAGTAGTCTGCATATGCAACGGAGTTCGAGGCAACGGCAATTTTCTCACAGGACAAAAATTGGAAGCATATTGGATGGATGGACGGATGGATGGATGGATGGATGGATGGATGGACGGAACATACATACATACATACATGCATGCATGCATACATACATATATACATACATAAATACTTACGTACATACATACACACATACGCACATACGTACATATGTACACTCATTAACTCACACATTCATTCATTCATTCATTCATTCGTTCGTTCGTTCGTTCGTTCGTTCGATCGTTCATTAATGCATGCGTGCATGCATGCATGCATGCATGCATTCATTCGCTCATTCATGCATACATACACATATGCATACATACATACTTACATTCATACATGTATACATACATACATACATACATGCATGCATACATACATACATACATACATCCAGTATCCATCCATCCATCCATCCATCCATCCATCCATCCCTCCCTCCCTCCCTCCCTCCCTCCCTCCCTCCCTCCTCCATGCATGCATTACAGTACCGCACGTATGTTATATTGCACAATCATACATTACTACGCTACATTCCATTGCACTGCATCGAACTGCATGGCATGGCATTGCAATGCATCGCATCGCATCGTAACGCATCGCACCACATCACATCACATCGCAGCACATCACATGCATGCTTGAATGCAAGCTCACATAAATACCTACATACATACATACATACATACATACATACATACATACATACATACATACATTTCATTACATTCCATTTCATTTCATCTCATTACATTCCAGGACATTCCATGACATTCCATTGCATTCCATTGCATTCCATTTCATTACACTACATTTCATCACCTTACCTTACATTACATACATACTCTCTTGCGCCGCATCTTTCTCTAGTGCTAGCGCGCGCCCCCACCGCAGGACACGACATTGGAATTACATACATACAGACACATACATACAGACACAGACATACGTACGTACATACACACAGATACATATGGGAACAGGGGCAGGTGAGCAGATACGCAAACACGTGTAGGTCTTTTGTATACATATGCTGCACCCTATATATATATATGTATATAT